TTATGAGAAACACCAAAATATTATATCCTAATTAATAATTTAACATTTAATATCAACCATTAAAACAAAATACTATTAATATTCGACAAAATTGCAAAAATGGTCCCTATGATATGCATTTTTTTAGGGTTTTAGTTCAAACCCCGATTTTTTTGGCTTCGTGGTCCTTTTGGCCATGTTTGTACGTAAATTTGATCCCTTGTAAAATTGAAATGACTATAATGCCCTTCTAATATATTTTTTATGTTTTTTTCTATTTAATTTAAATGAAAAAGAAAATAAATAATTAATGCCCTTCTAATATATTTTTTATGTTTTTTTCTATTTAATTTAAATGAAAAAGAAAATAAATAATTAATTGGGCGCACATCTCACCCAAATCACCGATGGTACTACACCCAAATCTTGAGTTCCGGTGGTGCTACAAACAGAATGAAAGCTTCATCCCTACTAACTCACGATTCCACCCTTCTCGCTTCCACCGCCGCTCCTACTACCGCTGACCGGCCAGACTCCTTTCGTTCCTTTGGTGTAGGAGAATGAAAGCAAACGACACCACCACCATCATTTTTGTCTCTGTTGTTTCTCCTAATCTATTGGTATCGTCAGAATCAATTGAAGTCATAAACGAATTAGAGGCTTTCGGAGGATTTCATCATTTGTGTTTGGATGTTTCTCCTTCCCCATTAAAATGTTGGAAGAAAAGAAGGCTAGATATGAGTTCTTCTCCTCTCTACTGATTAGTTTTATATACTTTCTTCTTCCAGTGTTTATTTTTTTCTTTATTTTTTTCGAAAATGGTCTAATAGATGGATTTGGGTGGGTCGATGGTTGAAGGTGATGGATTTGTATTTCAATTACTCTTTTTTCGAATTTGATCTGGAAGATGGATATAGGTTTTAACTTGAATCTAATGAGTGTATGTGATTTCAAAAAAAAAAAAAAGAAAAAAACTAGAAAATCTAATGTGTTTTTCATGTTGCTATTTCTCTTACGATTTTTGTTTAGTTTTTGCAATTGATTATTCGGAAACTGCGATTTGTTGCTAATGTCAAATCGTGTGATCTCTGGAGCAACTCCAAGAGGATGGATTATAGCGTTGGTGATGATTTTGAAGACGTTGGAACAAGGACCTCTCTTTCTTCAATCGCTGATGCATTTGAGGATATTTCGGATCTCATTATAGCAGGAAGAAATGGTGATTTTGCTGTTTTGAAATTTCGGATCTGATTATTGTATCTTCAAATGTTATTAAAAGAAAATCATGTTTGAAGATGGGTTTTAATGTAGGTGTGATGGATTTCCGTTTTGATTTTATGTTATTTGGGTATTATATGTTTGTTGAATCTGAACCGAAATCTTCATACAATTCATCCCACTATCTGGGTTTGTATGATCGTATTAATTGGAGAGAGAGAGAGAGAGAGAGAGAGAGAGAGAGAGAGAGAGAGAGAGAGAGAGAGAGAGAGAGAGAGAGAGAGAGAGAGAGAGAGAGAGAGAATGTGGGCCCCTTGTTATTTTTTTAATTATTAAAATAAATAAATTATAATTAGATTTAAAAAAGAAATGAAAGAAAAATGGAAAATAAATACCCCAAGGGAATTACAGTCATTTCACTATTCAGAGGGACCAAAAACGCAACGAAACTAGTTCAAAAAGACCACTAATCCAAAAAAAAGTTGGGGTTTGGACTAAAATCCCAAAAAAATGCATACCATAGGAACCATTTTTGCAATTTTGTCTTAATATTCATTAAAAGAAATTAATTTGTGAATAAATAATAAAGATTTAAAGTTTAATTATAATTACGGAGTAAAATAAATTAACATTAATTAAAGAGGGGCTAGTTGTATTAAAGACAAACTCATAAAACCATTTAGTATATATTGAGTTGTTTTCGACCAAAAGAAGAATGGTCTCCAATGATAAAATAACTAGTTTTGAGGTCAATTCTAAATATTCGACCTCCCATTGAAGTCGGGCTATAGATAAGAAGAAGAGAAAGAGAAAGAGAAAGAAACGAAATCAAATCACTTCAGAGTTATCGAAAAACTCTATGGAACACACCGTAGATGAAATTCCTTTTCCTTCGGAGTACAATCTTATGAGAAATGACTCTCCAATTAGAGTATCGATCCTAACAGAACCTTAACGATGATTGTCCATACGCTGATAGCCTTAACTAGAAAAAGCTCAACACTTCGAAGTGTTGGAGTCAAAGCGACAAAACAAGAAAAGTGATATTTCAGACTTCTTGTATGAAATATGGATTTTTGTTCGAGAAGTTTTTAGTCCAATATATTTTGATAATATTGTAGAGCTCTTCAATACATTTTCGTAGATATAAAGATCGTCGAAATCGGAGTTGAAACGAAGATGTTATGATCGTTTGAAGATAGGAAGGTTTTGTGCTTAGTCTAGTACGTTGGACGTAAATTGAGTACGTTGAACGTACCGAGTACGTTGGGCGTAAATTGAGTACGATGGACGTACTGAGTACATTGGGCGTAAATTAAGTACGTTAGGTGTACGCGATCACTACCTAAACTCTATTTTCATGGTTTGAGCTTTATTTAAGCTCCTTAGCTTCCCCAAACCCATTTCATTATCAGCTTCCACCTCTCCAACACCCTCCCTTAAAACCCTAACCCGAGTTTGAGCCTTGTGAGCAAAAGAAGGTATTTTTAAGTGCTTTGGAGTGTTCTTGGTGCATCTTGGAGATGAAGGAGTTCATTTGAGAAGTGTTGGTTGCATATAGACCCAACCTTTGTTCACTTTGATCTTTCTTCTAAAGGTATAAAGCTTGAATATTGATGTTCCACCATGTCATGGCCACCCTGTTTAAAGTAAATATATATAAGTTGATTCATACCCGGATTCGGATGTTACACTCCTTGACAGTTTCCCAAAATCTTTTAATGAAATTAAAAGTTAAACCATCGTGTTCCAATGATATTTCATCCCAAGAAGGCTAGAATCTCACACCGCTATTATTTCCCAACCGTGTAAATGGTGCTCCGATAACATGTCACAAGATTTTCTTGAGACATGTGGATGTCATACCAAACTATACCATACTATTGCAGTATCACATAATCGACACTTCATTTTTCCCTCACCTCACAAAACTGAAAGGTGTCATACCACCATTTACCATATTTTTTTCATTTTTTTAATTGAATAAAAAAATATAATTTAATAAAATTAAAAAAGGAAAAACACATCATTAATTTAATTAAATAAATTACATAAAAAAACGACAATTAAATGAAAACAATACTTATAATATCTTTTCATGATGTCCGCTATAGCCCTCAAAACCATATCAAACTCGTTTTCGATGAGGTAATTGAAGGGTTTTGTTAAGAATTTCATACACTTTTTGTATTCTCCTATCTAGCTTTCCTTTTCTCCTTCAGTTTATCATTTTCAAAAATTCAAACTACTTTCAAAATTCAAATTGTAAATTTTGAAACTACTAGCAACTCTATGAATGACATCTCCTCTTCCCGTTC